AGCATCCAGTACAGATCTGGAGACAAACGCTACATGTTAGTTGGACCCAGGATGAGTATAGGATCTACTATAGTCCCAGGAAGCCATGCCAATACACTAGTGCTGCCTGACAGGAGAGGGACATCTGGAGAGGTGAGTAAGTTATATTAGCTACTTATTGTATTTCAATAATACATTTTCTGATTACCATCCTCATCCATTCTGCTCAACACGGATTTAAATTGACAGACATGAGAACATGTATTATACTCAAATTACCTATGGAATACTTATATAATTCAGTAATCATCAATTTAACATGATACAATGCATTATCACACACATTCACAAGGCGGCAGTACCTTATCATTATAACGCCTACAGGCGTCTCAGCGATACATCCAATAGTCCGTCCCTACTGTTTAGTCCGGTTAGACAACATTTAGCAGGCAGACTGGGAATACGCGCACGGTGGCTGTTTTTGCATTTTGTGAAAATCATTCTTTGGGGATGTGAATATATTTCTTGCTGTGGTGGAGACATTAAATCGAGACGCGTGGACGATGATGGAGTCGTTTGGAATCGTACTTTTACCGCAAATGATGAAACAAAGAGGACGGGACTCATGGCGACCATTGCTCGGCAGCTTGGTTCTGCTTTTATCATTTAATGCAGCTTCGGCACAGCTGAGATACTCAATATCTGAGGAACTGAAAGAGGGAAGTTCTGTTGGCAATATAGCAAAGGATTTGGGAATAGACCTGAGTGTAATGAAGCAGAGAGGATTTCGTATAATGTCAGGCACGAGCGAAGCTCTTTTTAAGGTAAATGCGAATGACGGCGTTCTTTACACGAACCATAAAATAGACCGAGAAGAGGTGTGTAAGGAGAGCACTGTGTGTTTGATTAACCTTAAAACCGTTCTCGAAAACCCACTGGAAGTTCATTATGTCACCGTGGAGATAACAGATTTAAACGACCACTCTCCCACATTTCCGGAGAAAACAAAGAGGCTCGAAATCTTCGAGTCTGCGTTGCCAGGGGCAAAATATCAGCTACAGAATGCCCACGATCCGGATGGTGGCACAAACTCAGTCCAACAGTATAAAATCAGTCAGAATGACCATTTTCGTTTAGAAATTAAAGATCGAGGACGGGATGGTAAAACCCCAATTTTACAATTACAGAGACAGCTCGACAGAGAGGCTAGAAGTAACCATAAATTGTTGTTGACAGCTATAGATGGCGGAAATCCACCCAAAACAGGCACAGTTGAAATATACATCGATGTTCTGGATGTTAATGATAATATGCCGGTGTTCACAAAGGACACATATTCAGTGGTGCTTCAGGAGAATTCTGCAATTGGCACAACAGTCATCCAAGTTAACGCAACGGATTTGGACGAAGGTGCCAACGGAGAAGTGGTTTATTCATTCGGCAGTGATGTAAAAGATAAAATTCGGGAACTGTTTGAAATCGACTCTGTTACTGGAGAGATCACTGTGAAAGGTCGTGTAGACTTTGAGGAACAAGACAGTTATGACATCGATATACAGGCCTCCGATAAGGGAACAATTCAATTCAGAACAGATAAAAGTGTTATTATTAAAATCAGAGATACGAACGATAATGCTCCTGAGATAGAGGTGGCGTCATTGTCAAACGCGGTTTCAGAGGACTCTCGACCAGGAACAACCGTAGCGCTTATCAGCATTACCGATTTGGATTCTGGCGTAAATGGCAAAATAATTAGCTCTGTCGCTGAAGACGGCCCATTTACATTGACTCCATCTATACAAGACAACATGTTTGCTGTAGTCACAAAATCACAGCTCGACAGGGAACAACAATCAAGTTATGATATTACAATAATCGCTAAAGACGCAGGCGAACCCGCATTGACATCCGAAAAAACTATTAACGTGTTTGTGTCCGATACGAATGACAACAGTCCTGAGTTTTCACTGAGCCCCTACACCTTCTACATCACCGAAAATAACACTCCAGGAGCCTCAGTGTTTTCTGTGAGAGCGTCTGACCGCGACGTGGGAGAAAATGCGCTTATTTCATATCATATTCTCAGAAATTCTGGTAGTGAAAATAAAGTGACATCGTTTCTTAATATGAACTCCGAGAACGGAGACATTATGGCTCTGAAAAGTTTTGATTTTGAAACAGTGAAAACGTTCAAGTTCCACGTTGTYGCGTCAGATTCTGGAACTCCGTCACTGAGCAGCAACGTCACAGTGAACGTGTTCATTCTGGATCAGAACGACAACGCTCCAGTCATCCTGTATCCAGTCAGCTCCAACGGTTCTGCTGAAGGTGTGGAGGAGATTCCCCGCAATGTGAACGCAGGACACTTGGTGACTAAAGTCMGAGCCTATGACGCTGATATAGGATATAACGGCTGGTTACTGTTTTCACTGCAGGAAGTTACTGACCACAGTCTCTTTGGTTTGGACCGCTATACAGGACAGATCAGAACACTTCGCTCATTCACAGAGACAGACGAGGCAAGAAGCTTTTGCAGCTTCTGATGTGAAAAGTTCAACAAAAGCAGATGAGGACAATAATGTGACTTTTTACCTGATGATAACTTTGGGCTCAGTTTCAGCTCTTTTTCTCATCAGTATCATCGTGCTGATTTCAATGCAGTGCTCAAAGTCCACAGACTTCACTTCTAAATATCTACAAGAGCCCAATTATGATGGGACACTGTGTCACAGCATCCAGTACAGATCTGGAGACAAACGCTACATGTTAGTTGGACCCAGGATGAGTATAGGATCTACTATAGTCCCAGGAAGCCATGCCAATACTCTAGTGCTGCCTGACAGGAGAGGGACTTCTGGAGAGGTAAGCTAGTTTCACACTCTGTCGCAGTACTTTGTGTAGCCTTATTCTGAACAAATAGTAATACATTGATACCTAATATCATTGCATTTATTGTTCCTGAGATATTGCATCTGTGGGATCAAAATGATTAAAATGTTTGGTTATGAAGCAATAATTACTGACTTTCGCAATTGCATTACCCTGATAAAATTAATGGGAAAACATTGTCTTCCTTCAATGATCAGACTCTTCTTTACAGAAGATATATACATTTATCTTGTATTAAAAAAAGAGGTATGTGCCATAATGTTGGATTGCTTATACACATAGATGATATCAGTGTGGCAGTGGCATAGTTATGTGCAATTTGTGAGGAGAAACCAGCTTACAGTAATATTCCAATCTCAAGAAAGTGAGGATGCAAATTGAGTAGTCATAGTCAACACGCTGTTTTGTATCAGAGCTTCTGATGTCTCGTGGCCACTGGTATGACAGGTTACTAGTATATATCTTTTCTGTTAACCTTCCTGCTCAATTAAATCACAGTTGTTTGTGTATATAAACTCTTGATGCAGTTGGAATATAATCTCTCGTGTTGTAAATCTGAAAATGCAGTGGTGGTTGAACTGAGTGCAGACTGTCGCTGACCTTGGTGCTGAAACAGTTGAACTCAATTCTCTTTCCCTTCTGTGCCTTTGTTAGCCTAATTATTTTTTTTCGGTCTAATTTAATACATAATTAGTAACGAAATGATGACTAGGGGTTCTTGTATCCACAAACAAACTGTCAAATGAAGGAGTAGGAGCCTCTTTGTTTCCTCTGAAAATATAGTTTTTCCTTTTTCTTGATTATATGTTTAAAATTATTTTTTCGTGCAAAGTCAACATTTTGTCATGCATTTATTTCAGATACAGCACTGTAGTGTGGTTCATGGTCACTTGGTGTCGGTATAATGACAGAAAAATATTTCACATGTTTTCGTCATAGCCAATAGACCCATCCCATTTCTCATCAAACCATCACTGACCGAGCCTTTTCCACGAACAGCTTGAACTCACAATTTACCTTATATCTCATCTCATCTCGTGCTCTGGGAGAGAATGATTGGATTATGAAAAACTATGTGACGGAAAGACTGGTCGTTATTTTACGGATATAGCCTTTTGAAAGATTTTTTTATTTTCATTCGCGTCATGGAACAAAGGGGATGTCAGACGTGGATAGAGCGGACAAAGTGGATGGTCTACGTGATGGTTTTGGTCACGGTTTGTGGCAGAGTTTCAGCACAAGTCCGATATTCCGTCGCTGAGGAAGTGAAAGAAGGAACTGCTGTTGGAAATATTGCGAAGGATTTAGGTCTCGATAAGACCACGCTGAAAGAGAGGGGGTACCGCATTGTCTACAGCTCCACAGAGCCTCCTTTTCGAGTAAATCAGGACGATGGGATATTGTATGTGAACCGTAAAATTGACAGAGAGGAAGCGTGCGACCGAAGCAAGGTTTGTCTCATCGAATTAAAAACTGTACTAGAAAACCCGCTGGAGGTCCACTACGTAGCAGTGGACATTCTGGATGTAAACGACCACGCACCGATCTTTCCTGAAAGTGAGAAAATGTTAGAGATTTATGAATCTGCATTACCGGGAGCAAGATTTCAGCTACAAGCTGCTCGTGATGCTGATAGTGGCTTATTATCCGTTCAGCAGTATAAGTTGAGTCACAATGAACATTTTCGTTTGGAGGTGAAAGATCGCGGCGAGGACCGTAAAACTCCCAGTTTAGTTCTTCAAAAACACCTGGATAGAGAATCCGTTAAAACCCATGTGTTACTTCTGACAGCCACTGACGGAGGTAAACCTCCACGCTCCGGTAACATGACAATAATTGTTGATGTCTCTGATGTTAATGATAATCCCCCGGTTTTCACACAGGATTCATATCATGTAAATCTAAAAGAGAATTCTCCACTGGGCACGACTGTTATTCATGTTAATGCAACAGATATGGACGAAGGTTCAAACGGTGAAGTTGAATATTCATTTGGGAATGACGTGGATGCACGAGTACGCGCACGTTTCGATTTAAATCCGGTGACCGGAGTCATTACTGTGGCAGGGGCCATAGATTTTGAAGACAGTGCCAGATATGAAATTGATATACAGGCATCAGACAAAGGTGCAGCGACACTGACAACAGACAAACCCGTCATTATAAATATTATTGACGTAAATGACAACGCACCAGAGATTGAGGTGACATCTTTTTCACGCGCACTCCCGGAAGATTCAAAACCAGGGACCACAGTGGCGTTGATTAGTGTCAAAGACGCAGATTCTGGTCTCAATGGAAAAGTATTATGTCATATAAGTCAAGATCTGCCCTTTCTGCTCGCTCCATCTTTACAAAACAACATGTATTCTCTAGTCACTAAGTTGCTTTTGGATCGAGAGAAGCAATCACAATATGATGTAACAATCGTCGCTAAAGACGCAGGCGAACCATCCCTGTCATCAGATAAAACTATAAGCATTGTTGTGTCAGATGTGAATGACAACAGTCCAGAGTTTTCTCAGAGCCCATATACTTTTTACATAACCGAGAACAACAGCCCAGGAGCGTCTATTTTATCAGTGACAGCCCGTGATGACGACGAAGGAAGTAATGCGCTGATTTCATATCAAATTTTGAGGGGCAGGGGAGAAGACAACCTGCTCAGCTCCTTTCTAAACATCAACACTGAGAACGGAGACATCACGGCACTAAAAAGTTTCAACTTTGAAACAGTGAAAACGTTCAAGTTCCAAGTTGTCGCGTCAGATTCTGGAACTCCGTCACTGAGCAGCAACGTCACAGTGAACGTGTTCATTCTGGATCAGAACGACAACGCTCCAGTCATCCTGTATCCAGTCAGCTCCAACGGTTCTGCTGAAGGTGTGGAGGAGATTCCCCGCAATGTGAACGCAGGACACTTGGTGACTAAAGTCMGAGCCTATGACGCTGATATAGGATATAACGGCTGGTTACTGTTTTCACTGCAGGAAGTTACTGACCACAGTCTCTTTGGTTTGGACCGCTATACAGGACAGATCAGAACACTTCGCTCATTCACAGAGACAGACGAGGCTGAGCACAAACTGCTCATACTGGTCAAAGACAATGGGAACGTGTCACTCTCAGCAACAGCTACTGTCATTGTCAAAGTTGTGGAGCCCAAAGAAGCTTTTGCAGCTTCTGATGTGAAAAGTTCAACAAAAGCAGATGAGGACAATAATGTGACTTTTTACCTGATGATAACTTTGGGCTCAGTTTCAGCTCTTTTTCTCATCAGTATCATCGTGCTGATTTCAATGCAGTGCTCAAAGTCCACAGACTTCACTTCTAAATATCTACARGAGCCMAATTATGATGGGACACTGTGTCACAGCATCCAGTACAGATCTGGAGACAAACGCTACATGTTAGTTGGACCCAGGATGAGTATAGGATCTACTATAGTCCCAGGAAGCCATGCCAATACTCTAGTGCTGCCTGACAGGAGAGGGACATCTGGAGAGGTAAGATTACATTGAAAGTGTAGCTGATAATAACATGTATATTTCTTGGGGAATAGCAAAGCATCTTTTCAGTAAAGATTTAAATTATTTCGACTTTTACTGATTGGAGCTCTCTTCATTGTGCTTGGTGCTGATGAACTAATGTGCTTTTTGGTTGTGGTGCATTATTGTGTCTTGGATTCCATATTTTTTATTCGTGGTTGTTTAATGTGTTACTGTATGTACTGCCCACTGTGACCCTCTGTTATTAAAAGGGAGAGTTATTAACTCCAATGGCTTTATCATTTAAATTGATATGAAAACGGAAAGACTGCATCCTCGTCTTCCAGCCAAAACTTCAAAGCAGATCAGTTTGAACTGTTTATATGGATGTAGGAACGTTTCCTCTCCGTAGATTAACATTTTTACAAGAAAACTACTACTTGTGTATATAACAATGTGAACGCCTGGTGTCAGTGTAGTTCAGCGATTCTTTGCTATTGGCAGCACTTTACGTCACGAGCTTTATTCAAACCAAGCCCTTGCATTTGTCTAAAACAGAAACGCTTTCGTAGGTTCCACATCGTGATTGTCAGCCAGTAGTGTGTTTTGCTTCCAGCATATTTCTTTTTTGTAAAACAGACCAAGGCATCGTTCAGGACCTGTGATTTCATATACGACGTATTTAATGGACTGTTGTATGTCATATTCAAGTCATGGAACAAAGAGGACAATGCAAATCGTGGAGGAAACGGTGCTGGTTTTTCCTCATGGTGGTTTTGGACGTATTATGGAACGGAGCTTTTGCGCAGATCAGATATTCGATATCCGAGGAGGTTGAAGATGGAACTGTGGTCGGGAATATAGCTAAAGATTTGGGACTAGATAAGAGTGCGCTAAAAGACAGAGGATATCGCATTGTCACAGGCTCGGCTGAACCTCTGTTTCAGGTGAATCAAAATGATGGCGTCCTGTATGTGAAGAGAGGAATAGATAGAGAGGAGGTGTGCGAACGGACCAGCCCGTGTTTGATCCAGCTGAAAACCGTGCTAGAAAACCCGCTGGAGATCCACTATGTGACGGTGGAAATACTCGACATAAACGATCACTCGCCCGTGTTTCCAGAGAAAGAAAAGCGGCTCGAGATTTCCGAGTCGGCTCTAGCAGGGGCGAGATTTCAACTGCAAGCGGCGCGGGACCCCGACGTAGGCCAGTTCTCCATTCAGCAATACAAACTCAGCCATAACGAGTATTTCAGGGTAGAAGTCAAAGATCGAGGCGAGGACCGTAAAGTGCCATTTTTAGTTCTGCAGAAGCAGCTGGATAGAGAAGCAGCAGGGAAACATAAGCTACGTCTAACGGCGGTTGATGGAGGAAAACCGGTGAAGTCTGGTAATATAGAAATAATTGTGGACGTACTTGATATTAATGATAACTCGCCCGTGTTCACAAAGGAGCTGTATTCTGCCACTCTTAAAGAAAACGTTCCCGTTGGCACTGTGGTGATTCAGGTTAATGCAACTGATTCGGACCAGGGTGCAAATGGCGAAATAATATATTCGTTTGGTAACGAAGTTGATTTGAAAGTAATGGATTTATTCAGTATCGACCCAGACACTGGTGAGATTCAAGTAACAGGTCCGATAGATTTTGAGAAGAGCAAAACTTATGAAATTGATATAAAAGCATCAGATAAGGGACAAAGTCCACTCACAACTGACAAAAGTGTTACGATAACTGTTGTTGATGTTAATGATAATGCTCCCGAGATAGAGGTGACTTCGTTTTCAAGCTCCATCAAGGAGGATTCAAAAATAGGAACAACAGTTGCCCTCATTAGTGTCGGTGATTTAGACTCTGGAATCAACGGTAAAATCATTTGCTCAATCAAAGATGATGTTCCCTTCACTCTTTCTCCATCGCTGCAAGAAAACATGTTCGCTGTTGTCACCAGGTCACAGCTGGACAGGGAAGTTATTTCTCAATATGACGTCACCATTACTGCAAAAGATACAGGCGAACCTTCGTTTTTAACTGAAAAGACTATTAGCGTCGTTGTATCAGATGTGAATGACAACAGTCCAGAGTTTTCATCGAGCCCCTATACGTTTTATATCACTGAGAATAACAGTCCCGCAGCCTCAGTGTTTTCAGTAAAAGCCTCTGATCGTGACGAAGGCGATAATGCTCTCGTTTCATATCATATTTTGAGAGATGTTAGCGGGGATAAATTGTCCTCGTTTCTAAATATGAACCCTGAGAACGGAGACATCATGGCGCTAAAAAGTTTTGACTTTGAAACAGTCAAAACTTTCAAGTTCCACGTTGTCGCGTCAGATTCTGGAACTCCGTCACTGAGCAGCAACGTCACGGTGAACGTGTTCATTCTGGATCAGAACGACAACGCTCCAGTCATCCTGTATCCAGTCAGCTCCAACGGTTCTGCTGAAGGTGTGGAGGAGATTCC